TTTTTCACAATTCCTGACATTTAATCCTAGTAAAAACTCCCTGTCTTAGGTCAGTTAGAATCACCACTTTATTTTAAGAATGTGAAATGTCAGAATAATAGTAGAGAGAATGATTTATTTCAGCTTTTATTTTTTTCATCACATTCCCAGTGGGTCAGAAGTTTACATACACTCAATTAGTGTTTGGTAGCATTGCCTTTAAATTGTTTAACTTGGGTCAAACGTTTCGGGTAGGCTTCCACAAGCTTCCCACAATAAGTTGGGTGAATTTTGGCCCATTCCTCCTGACAGAGCTGGTGTAACTGAGTCAAGTGTGTAGGCCTCCTTGCTCACACACGCTTTTTCAGTTCTGCCCACAAATGTTCTATAGGATTGAGGTCAGGGCTTCGTGATGGCCACTCCAATACCTTGATTTTGTTGTCCTTAAGCCATTTTTCCACAACCTTGGAAGTATGCTTGGGGTCATTGTCCATTTGGAAGACCCATTTGCGACCAAGCTTTAACTTCTTGACTGATGTCTTGAGATGTTGCTTCAATATATCCACATAATTTTCCTTCCTCATGATGCAATCTATTTTGTGAAGTGCACCAGTCCCTCCTGCAGCAAAGCACCCCCACAGCATGATGCTGCCACCCCCGTGCTTCACGGTTGGGATGGTGTTATTCGGCTTGCAAGTTACCTCCTTTTTCCTCCAAACATAACGGTGGTCATTATGGCCAAACAGTTCTATTTTTGTTTCATCAGACCAGAGGACATTTCTCCAAAAAGTACGATATTTGTCCCCATGTGCAGTTGCAAACCGTAGTCTGGCTTTTTTATGGCAGTTTGGAGCAGTGGCTTCTTCCTTGCTGAGCGGCCTTTCAGGTTATGTCGATATAGGACTCGTTTTACTGTGGATATAGATACTTTTGTACCTGTTTCCTCCAGCATCTTCACAAGGTCCTTTGCTGTTGTTCTGGGATTGATTTGCACTTTTCGCACCAAAGTACGTTCATCTCTAGGAGACAGAACACGTCTCCTTCCTGAGCGGTATGACGGCTGCGTGGTCCCATGGTGTTTATACTTGTGTACTATTGTTTGTACAGATGAACGTGGTACCTTCAGGCATTTGGAAATTGCTCCCAATGATGAACCAGGCTTGTGGAGGTCTACAATTGTTTTTCTGAGGGCTTGGCTGATTTATTTTGATTTTCCCATGATGTCAAGCAAAGAGGCACTGTTTGAAGGTAGGCCTTGAAATACATCCACAGGTACACCTCCAATTGACTCAAATGATGTAAATTAGCCTATCAGAAGCTTCTAAAGCCATTACATAATTTTCTGGAATTTTCCAAGCTGTTTAAAGGCACGGTCAACTTAGTGTATGTAAACTTCTTACCCACTGGAATTGTGATACAGTGAATTATAAGTGAAATACTCTGTCTGTAAACAATTGTTGGAAAAATGACTTGTGTCATGCACAAAGTAGATGTCCTAACCGACTTGCCAAAACTATAGTTTGTTAACAAGAAATGTGTGGAGTGGTTGAAAAACGAGTTTTAATGACTCCAACCTAAGTGTATGTAAACTTCCGACTTCAACCGTATATGATCAGTTTCACATTGAAGCATGTCAGATCTCTCTGTCCACCTGTCATGGGTTTCTGCAGTGTTTTTTAAATTTAAAAAGTCACCCTCTCTCCCTCATGAGGTTCAAAGGAGGCTCAAAGGAGTGTTAGTGTTTTTTTGGACCAGGAAAAATTCTATACCTTTTCTGTGGGTGGCTCTAGGTGCCTGCTTTTCATTGAATGTCCGGTTATTTCCATCACAGCTTTAGCGGCAGTAAAGCTAGTGGAGACACGAATAAATAAGATCAGGTTGCAAGGCCTCAGATCTCACCGTCACTTTGTAAACTGAAGTGTGTGTGTGTGTGTGTGTGTGGGGGGGGGGGGGGGGGGGAGTAGACGAGAAGCATTTCATGAGGCCACATCTCTTTTTTTCTATGTACATCCCACTCCCCAAAAAAAATTCTGACACCCAAGCAAGGCAGCCTGCTGGAGATGAATTCCACAGTGATGAGGCTAGCTACTGCAAAAGCTCTCTCTCCCCACAGCCCCCCCCCCCAACATTTCTTCTAGTTAGCTCCTATAATTGGAGTCTAGTCACAAGAGCTAAACATCCCACGTTGCCATGTTTCTACGTATAGCAATATGTAACACCCCTTGTGACACTCCTTTTGAACTACGGTCATATTCATCATATTATTGCCCCGTTGGAACAACTATAGAGGACATCACTCCACACACTATACTAGAGTATAGAAATAAAAAAGACTATAGGTAATTAGATATGAATAATAAATTATGGCAATGTCTTCAAAACTACATGTGATGAGCAACCGTAAATGTGCATTTTATGTGTGAAAGGTCAATTGGTAGGGTGGAGTGGTAGTGGAGGTGTGTGTGGGGGGGGGGGGGTGCTCTGGCTAAGTGGGTAAGCTTGAAGTGGTGTTTACTGGTTTGAGATGCTTTAAAAATAGTATATTTTAATTGTCCAAGCAGACTACGCTGAAGACAGGATCAAATATCCACAGATGCCTGGCAAACATTCTTTGAAGAAGCAAATAGGTTTTCCAGGTGATGTGGTGTCTATTACTGCTGCATAAGAAATTGTGGTTTATTTTTGTATTGCTGTATGTGCATCTATATGTATACATACAAATGTGTTTTAAGCATGTTTCCTTACTCTCAAATTATGAATGTTACCTTGCTTACCTGCCTCTTGCTCGTTTTTGCTTTGTTTTTACTAAAAAACAAACATTGGTTGTTGTCAAATTATGCCAGAGACTACAGTTTGGGCAACACAACTTGATGGATGGACTGACTGACAGCGTTTAAGAAGTGACATTAACTAGTGGAATCATTGCTACAAAGTCTGTCAGTGGCTACAAATGCCTGTCACCCATTGGGCAGAATGAGTTGTCAGAGATGCTTAACTGCTGTATTTTACAACTTTGCTGGCTGGTCAAGAGCGCCAGTGATGTGAAGGAGTGGAAGATGTAAGCACTGGGCTTGCTAAATCCTTGCACAGAGCTCACATTACACAATGTTGTGTTTGAATGGACTATTTTATGGTGAAATGTATAATAAACTATAACAGTGCAAGGTTTTCCATGTGTGTAACTTGTCTCTTGCAAACTGTGCTGCTAGGCCTAAGAATTGTTTTGTCAATGTGCTGTATTGGATATCAGTGTAACTAAAGAAAAAAGTTCTAACATAATTTAAGATAACATTAACTACAAAATCAAAACAAAGTGTATTGGTCAGTACACAGTTAAGTACACAGTCTAGCAGGTGTTATAGTGGGTGCAGCAACATGCTTGTGTTACTAGCACCTAACAGTGCAGTTAAATGTCAAACAAGTACACAAATAATAAATAATCAAAAAGTAGAAACAAGAAATCAAGAATGTCAGAATGAATCCAATTAACAAACCAAATAGCACTGTAGATTATCAGTAATCCAAATGCAATGTATGCACATATACACCAAAAATATATACTAAGAATGATATATGTACAGCAGTAGGCCTAGATATATTATAGTGAGCTATGGCGTGTATAAAAAATGCAATGTACAGTATTAGAATGAGCTATGTGAAGAATACAGTATATGAATGCACAGTGTGAAAAACAGCTAATGCACTGAAACAATAAATTATGCAACTATCATAATCTCTCAGAGACAAATCATTTGACACTGGTGTAGGCCTAGACAAAAATAGACCTCCATTCAATGAATGCCAGTTTAACCAGCGGAAAATAAGCATCCTGTTAACATCGGTTAGTCATCAATTAGTGATGTTGATTAGGCTACTACACAAAGCCTATTGTTAAAATGATTTGTTTTAGCCGTAAACCGCTCAACGAGAGAGAATGGAGAAAGCAATGGAGTATTTTACACCTCATTGCCACACCCCTTCAAGTGAGATTAGGCTACTCACTTTTAACAGTGATTAATTATGATCTAAATGCATTATAACATAGTCGATAACTTGCATTTACATCCGTCATGAAAGAGAAGAGAGAGAGAAAGAGAGTGAGAGAGCGAGCGAGCGCAAGAGATGAAAAACAGGATATATTTCATAAAATAAGAAAATAAAAACAGATGATGTACATGCTGATATGCATAAGGCATGTTGGTTAATTTGCCGTGAATGCCTAATATTGTGCTTAATACATACCCAAAGTGAATTACATTATCATCTGTAGGCCTACCCGGGAGCTACAAAACTTTTAGCCCCTTGTTTTTTTTTTTTTTTTTACAGGCCACTGTGCCCTGCCCACCCACAATACAAAACCTCCGACAACCAGCTCATGGGAGGGACCTGCCTTTCAACATTTAAACACTGCCCAGCAAAAGGCCAAGACGCGCTATGAGTAAGAGGGCTTTTTAAACCTGGAATTACTTGAGGCTACATTGCGCTACGTATGGGGGACAATATTTTCTCTTGGAATAAACATCCAAATGACAATAGTTAGGGCCTAATAGTTTTTTCCACTGGACTTGTATGATGGGTCTCGGTGACTATTTTGGTTGCATACTTTTTGGATACTCTCAGGAAGACCTTCACACTTCAACACACCTGCTGTAATTGGAGTATAGGCCTACCATTTTCCTCATATGCGTACCATGATGTGTTTCTCCTATAAACTTTGAAGAAGGTGTTTCACATCTGAAAGTTGGTGTGTGAATGGAATAAAACTCATAAACTAACAAGGGACACAGACTGGACAGGTCAAGCGCATTACTTGAGGCTACATTCTGTTGGATTACTTTGGATCTGTTGGTCTCTTGCTCTCCGTGAAGAAATACATTTGCAATTGGATGAAATAACAAGAGAATGTATGGAATAAATCAGCGCTGTATTTACATGTAAGAATATTTACCTTTTGAAACATCCTTATCGAAAAACATTTGATTGTTGGTGATGTTTTATTTATTGTGATTTCGTTTCGCAGATCTTTTCATTTATTCGTGCTGTGGTGCCATGCTCAGGTAAACCCTCTTTCAATGTTCCGTGCAGATAGTTTAGACAAATTATTATTAATAGGCATTTGATGGTAAATGTCATATTTGAAATGTCTTGATTTGCTTGTAATTTTTAAGTGGGCAGCTTGCCTCTGAATGCATTTATTATAGGCCTAATGCAACACAATATTTGATAACATGCTTTTTTTAACCAAATAATTTACAGTCCCAGATTTTGTATTTTTTGGATTCTGTTATTCAGTGAATCTCTGGAGTCAGGCAATGGTTGGCTTGTTTTAGAAAACATTTCAATTAGAGGTTAGAAGAAAATCCTATAAGTGATGTATTTTTCCCTTTGCATAAAAAGGGGGAGAATCATCCGTCTCCTAATTTTAACCAGTATGTGAGGGAGCAGGGCGCAGTGACAGACCAGTTTAGCCGGCGACAGGTCAGGGTTTACCAACTATACAGCCGGACCAGCGGGAAGCACGTCCAGATACAGGGCAAGAGGGTCACCGCTACTGCTGAGGACGGCAACAATTACGGTAAGTTGTTCTCTTCCCATGAGGGCCATGACACAATGTTGGCTAAATCTGGATAAAAAGTATTTGTTTTCAACCAGTCGGACGCATGCATGCAAGGCTTATTAATAGTTTTTGATGACGACTGCATTTGCAATATGCTGTCTGTCTATGAAGAGGTCTGCAGCCTAGGCAAGGCCTACATGCCCAGCTAATGCTAGCCCCACCCTCTGTATGGGGCTGTATGGTAATTTAGCCAACCTACAGTATCTAAATCTCGTCTGGCGAATCAGGCCAAGTCTTTTGTCCAAGTCCAATACACATTCCTGTTGTTAGCCCTAATTAACCAGAGGGAGTAAATCAATGGACCAATAGGACAAATGCAATTGGTATTTGTGTATTCCACCTACATTACTTTTGTCTTCAAACATGCATAATAACACTTAATTAATCATATCAATGGCTTGTTAATGTCTCAAAACCCGAAACCCATAATATCTCACATCATAGGCTGTTGAGATCTTCTCTCTTCAATATGTTGTTTGTAGGCCAGTTAGGGCAGCTTATTGCTGGCTTCCTACAGTTTTGAATTTTCATTCCACTTCCATATAAGAATTTTAATATGATATAAGGAGTGTCCAAAATATACTTATATAGTTAATTGACATACTGGATTTATCACACCATTGTTGTATTTTCATATGGATATGTGTGTGTGGTAGCACGTCTCTTTGTAGAAACGGACACCTTTGGGAGTCGGGTTCGGATCAAAGGTGCAGAGAGTGGACGTTACCTCTGTATGAACCGGAAGGGGAAACTGGTTGGAAAGGTATAATATCAAATCCACATCACTTTCAAAGTTGAGCTTGCTTGTTTCGTAGTTATATGGTAATTGTTATGTAACTGTGATTGTACATTCTTTAAGTGAAGTTTTCTTTCAACAAATAGAAAAATAGTTTGAAGAGTTGGGTGAAATAGTGAAACTGCAATAAAAGGGATATATTTACTAACCAGTTTTCTCCCTGTCATATGGCAGACGTATTTGGCTCATATTGTGTTATAATGACACTTGTTTGTAATGTCATTCGTTAGCCTGGATAGGGTCGGTGATGGGGAGACAACCCAACATATATTTCCAACTGTAGCAGATGTACAGTTGCAAGGCATGGGATAAACTCTCCTCATACACTTTGGTGGTTGGTCAGAAGTCAACCCTCCACTTCCTTCATGGAAATGGAAAATATGTATTCAGTGTTGTCTGCTTGCCATGAGAAGTAAAGGGTCTCATCTCTCAACATCTTTTCGGGGTGTTGAAAGACTAGGTTCTAGTTTCATCTAGTGAATAAATAAGTACAGCTGAAGGCTGTAGCTTTCTGGCGGTTCCTGTCCTTTGGAAACCTGAGGTTTGAGAGGAATAGTTTGTTAATACTTCTCACAACTCCTACAATATAGTTATTGTGGTGTGGTTTAGATATGTATTTAATTTTTCATACATCATTCACTGTTCATAGTTTATTGTTTTGAAATGGAGGAGGCTGTACTGATACGGCATCTTCATTGTAGTTTTTATGAAACCGTCAGAAAATGTAGATACAATGGATTTGAGCTTGTCTTGTACACATTGTTTGCATTAGTTTGATGGTGATACAACTCAAGTAAACATCATAACAGTAAACTAGTCTGTTCCGGTGTTTCAAGAGAACATTGAAGTATTCCAAAATAATAGCAATGTAGTTCAGAGGGACATACTTTAATTAACCTATCCAGATGTTGTTGTTTTGATCTATATGCCTTCTAGTAGTGGCACTCTGACTTTAAGTCTTTCCTCTCTCTCATCCTCTCAACAGCCAAATGGAAGAAGCAGGGATTGTATCTTCACAGAGATTGTTCTGGAGAACAATTACACTGCCTTCCAGAATGCCAAGTATGAGGGCTGGTATGTGGCTTTCACCAGGAAAGGGAGACCCATCAAAGCCTCAAAGACGAGGGAGAACCAGAGAGAGGTCCATTTCATCAAGAGGCTACACAAGGGCCCACTACCTTTCCCCAACATGGACAGAATCAAACACTTTGAGTTCATCAGTTTTCCACCCACCTGTCGCGCGAAACGGAACAGGAAATCACAGGTTGCTGCCTAGTACAGAACAAATTGGACTCATATTATTGAGTAAAAATATGGAATTTTATATTTTTTATATTTTTAATATGTGAAGATACTTAAAATGCCCAAAAGTCTAAAGGATTATTGTTGTAAAATGATCCCATGTAAATAATGTAAGAGCGTAAATGAGATTGATGTATATATTTAATATGACTGTGTGTATGTGTTTTATTTTGCTTTTGGAGTGGTGATGCGACAGAGAGGGAATAGGTACATTAATAAACATGTTAAACTTGGTTAGCACAAAACTTAAGCGTGACAAATGCAACATCTTACCTTTAGATCATGTCTCTCAATTGACTGCTTTCTTGGTACTTGTGCTGAAATAGATTTCTGAGTTAAGAAAACCTCATCAGAAATGTACAGGAACTAGTAATGTTATTGTTTCGCAGATCAGTGTGCACAACCAGTGCATCCATTTTTATCCAGTATAAAAATCTATAGCCAATAGGCATATCATTCTAACAAATGGCTATGCAAAGACAATATTCATTTCTCAGGCTCAAATCTTCAAATTATTTACTGATATGTAGCCAAGCTACTGTACTTTTGGTCATGAATATGAATTCATTGCTTACTATTAAAGTGAGACATGTACTTATACTTACTAAATTCTGTGCTATTAATTATGTTGCTTAGCCCTACTATTTTGTACAATTACGTAAATGCTTCTTTCAAACTATTTCAAAAGATCAACAACACCAATCAAACCCATAACACCATTCATGTTCTGTGTGGGATGAACGTGTCAATCAAAAATAGATAACAAAACAACATCAAATTATCAATCACATGGATTTATGGTACTGTTATGACAGATCATCTCTTGTAATGAATTTGGCAAGGAAGTAAGACATGGGTATTAAAATGAATTATCCTTAATAGCAAGAAATGTGGTCATGTTTATGTAATATAAATTAGATCTATTTTCAACCTGATGACAGATTATTTTTTAGGAAAACCATTTGTCACTGTAGGCCTAATGAAAGCCACAATCTGAATGACCCCACTGGAGAGGTGCTGATCCATCCACCCCCCACATCTGTCTTTTATTTCAATCATCGCCAAAAGTCAGATAAGAGCATCCATCTCCAATACGGATGTTTGTGTACTGATTAAACACGGACCACATTGATATGCCCTGTTAATGCTATTATAGAGACAGAATACATTTTCCCCCATCCTTTTGTAATAGTACTCAAATAAAATAGCCTGTTGACACATGCAAATGTACTCAATGGGATAAGCATCCTAATTACAATGTTTCCCCCCTCCCCGTAGTTAGTGTTCCATCATGCCAGTTTGTTCTTTTTTTGGTGTAACCTTCTGCTATTACTGGGATGTTTAAATTGGAGTAACAGTTCACTCTAGTGGTTATCATTGTATACTGCAATGGTAATTGTCCCATTGGGCTGATCTAGAGTCATTTTTTGTTTGATTCCGGTGGTTTTGGTTGGATAAGCTAGAGATTCCTGTATAAATAACTCTAGATCAGTCCAATGGGGCAATTACCGTTTTCAATTACCGTTTTAATGGGGGCAATTACCGCTTCGCCTCTTCCTCTCTGCACAAGCCCAATAACCCCATTTTGGATAAACTGACCCTGGACCTGCAGTCAGACCTAAAGGAAAAGCTGCCGCTGTGTGTCAAACGGAAACGGAATTTAAAGAGTGTCTCAATTTACCCCGGAGCAGAAAAATTCACAGTACCATGGATCAGGTGGTCTGAACAGGAAGAGATCCAAGTTCAGTGAGCGGTGGCAGTCATAGCGTTGTTATTTCTCAAGAAGTATTATAGTTCTCACTCCAAGACACATCATACTATCTGAGAAAAAAAGTATTCTGCTACTCTATAGCAAATCAATTCATAATGTTTGCCGCTGACGACGAGGATGGAGATTTTCTGTCACCTACTGGAGGGTGAGTGAGTTTCCTTTCTCTCATAATGCCATCCAGCTAGCTACATAGCTAGCTAGTTTACATAAACATTGCCATGTGGGAGAGTCGTGACTCGTTTCAGCTTGTTCATGATACCATGTCTTGTTTTGAAGTGTTTTGACTGATTTCCTGTCATGTTAATATGGCAAAAAAATTCGTTAGCTAACTAACCAACAACTATTATAATGTATTTGAGAGACAAGTGGTCATTGTGCAAATGTATTTATGTTTTCAATAAACATTGGAGACCAAATATAGATTCCATGTTGTCAACAATCTATGGCAACGGCTATTTTGCCCAATGGTTGCGCGCGCGTCTTTTTGTTGCTAAATAACCAACCCTTCTATGGACGTGAGCAGGTCAGGTGCACAGACGTTCCATTTACCAGAATGGCGAACATTCAACAAATCTGATCTAACAAAGTGGATATTCCTCAAATCCGTCATGATTTATGTGTTGTAAGAGGCCCATAATGTTGTTACTTAAGTCAGATTTGGGTATATTTGGCTGTTTTAGCTGCATAACATGTAGAAGTTGTCCCTTTTCAGTGACTGCTAAATGCTACCTCCCATTCATATAAGCTTCATAACTAGCATACAGAAATCGGTGGTGGTAGTCAAATACGTTTATAACTTTAATGCAGTTGATTGGTAACGATGACATGAACATGTGTTTGGGTTGACAAGCATTATACTAAAATGTTTACCTCAACATAGTGTGAAATATACATAAATAATAGCCTAAATGGAGGCTAATTTTAATGGGGGGCAATGAGGAGACTCGGGATCTTTCCCACATGCGTTTTCATGGCAATCCATTGTTTTGGTCGAGTTCGATTGACCTCTTTACCGCATCTATGCCTTGCACAATAATAATCGAAGGGAAGGGTGACATGACCTCAACTGACTCCTCGCGCATCCTCAGCCAGAGCCTTGTGAGACAGGCGTTGTCCTCCACCTCTTACCCAGAGACACAGTACTGCACGGGATTTGAATGTACAGTAGGAGGTGCCTCATGCAACTGATGCAGGTCACTCTAGTTGCTAGAACCTAGGTTTTGGGTCGTTTGGGATTTTTCCCCAAGATCTGTTTCCTTTTTGGCTGTGAGCCCGTTTTCACTTCAAAAAGAGTTTCAGTATCACATTTTCTGGATTAATAGGCCTGCTATGTCTGCTCTGAAATGCATAGCTATACATCACTTGTACAATGCAGGCTAACTACCAACTAGGGTCTATGTGATTTGCTCTCTAGCATTTCTTGGCTAGTGGGGCAATAGTTCCCTCAGCTAATATGATTTGGAGGAATAAAGCTTGTCTGGGCCAGAAGCAGTGAAGGAGGGGGGAGGCAAGCATTGTGGCTCCTAATTCCTCTCACATGCTGCTAGTTAGGGCCAGTAGGGCGAGGGCTGCCTGCTCCTTCATATCAGCTCAGCACACTCTGGAAACACTGAAAAGCAGTGTGTTGGGTGGCCCGTGCCTGCCTTACACGTGTAGGCTAAACGGGCTACTCTTCACCACCAGCCGTCAGCAACAAAGACAGGCTTCAAGGTGTCCACCATGTCTTCTGCTCTAAGGGATAATGACTACCTGTGGAGGGAGATCCAAGGGTCAGTATCGTCCTGATCTGGAGGGAAGACTTAAAGTAAAACCTGATGTTTTTTGTCTTGATGACGAACACAGCATTAGCCAAATTTGCCACTGGTGGTCTGTCTGTAGCAGTTGAGGAAGGTTATGGGGCGTTTTTACTATTTTAATTTGTGATAGCCTGGTTCTAATAGCGACTGTGAAAATGTTATTGTCATCCATCTATTTACGCTTCAGTTATGGCAATGTGAAATTGTTAGAGATGATGTTGCAATACATGATGATATAGGCTATTCTAGTGTGTAAGATATTGTATCGTAGTAAGAGCTGCTGTGATAAAATAACCTACATTAATGGTATAGTGTTTTCGTCATCTTGCATTCAACGACCTGTTAAATGTGGAAATTGGCTACTTTACTTTTTAACATGAACAAGTCATTGTGGTGGTAACTATGGAATGCTGACTTGACTTGTTGGAGGCAGTTGTATTGGGATTCAGATATCCTCAAAGTCTGTCAGATGAAAGGGCTCATAAGAGCAGCTTTTCTCTATTGTTTGGGCATGGGTCTTGATATACAGTGTGTGGTTGCTGTGTCAACTGGGCATGGGACTTTTGTTCTCTCTGCTCAATATAAATAACTTTTTCCACTTACATTTTTTGTGTTATCAGGAACAGTAAGCCAGGAAATTATTAACCATGAAAGAGCACAGCTGCTGAAATAACAGAATACCTTTAGCTTTTTATCCAATTAGATGTTTTTGTCTCTATGGAACATAATATGGTGTATTGATATCTTTGATAAAATATTTTTGAACTTCACTCAGGAGAGAGCCTAGTAGGTCTACCCCATTACACCAATAGGCCTATTGCAGATAATAGGCTTACAGAAATAACCTAAATATCACTTCCTCTGTGTTATTTCAGAGCAAAGCTGGCATCACTTTTTGGACTGGACCAAGCAGCAAGTCAGGGGAATGAATCATTTCAATATACAGCCCCTAAACAGCCCAGGAAGACCTCGAATCCAGGTAAAATTATAACTTGAGCAATGCAAGGAAATGTGACCAAAGTGAGGTTAAAATGCTCAGGTGAACCTGAGATGTGTTTACTGCATGTTTTCATTTCCAGGTCCTCCTGCCCAGAAACCCGCTGCCCCTCCTGGTGCTCCTGCAGTATTATTGGCCACAGCTATCCATGCTTTCAAATAGTGAGTATCTTTAAACTGTAAAAATAACTAGAAATACCACCCCGTGGATCCCGTGACATCATGACACCCATTCCTTGGTTTTGAGTTCATGACTTACTCCATAACTGATGGTGCATCTTTCTGTTCAGTCTTAACGGACAGTATCAGGAACAAGGAAAGCTGGGAGCTGCAGTCTTGGGTAACCAAACAACAAAAGAGGTGAGACCAGAGTTGTGCTTTTATTGGAAACTGTCAATTTTCATGAGAATTCTGTCGCTTTGAAAATGCTTATCATCATGCAAGTTTGCTACCAATGATCAAAACATTCCATGTCTGTTTTCTCGTAGTACAAACTCTTGCTTTACATCAGTCAGCAGAAACAAGTGACTGCGGCCAAGATTCATGTTGGCTTCATCTTTACGGTGAGTTTTTGTCAGAGGAAGCTGAGCAAGTGAAAAGAGAGCCAGTAAGCTTCTATAAAAGAATCTCGCCTCTCACTCTCTACCGTTGTCTCCTTCAGGTTCAGCCCAGCAACTACTGCACATTTTATGATGACCAGCGCCAGAACTGGTCCCTTATGTTTGACACAGAGAAAGCTGCTGCAGACTTTTGTAAAGAGGTGATGGACAGCAGATGGACTCTAAGCGTAGTTCATGTTTAATTCATCTGTGTAGAAACATTTTAATGGAGAGTGGTATAAAAGTGATTTAAATTGGCTATTTCTTTGATTTAGGTGTGTTTGGCAAAAGTGAACAGCGCCCCGTCCTTGGATATGGTGGTGGTGCAGGACCTGACACTAGGGGAGGGGCAGGGAGTTGAGAATGGAGATTTCCTGGAGGTGACATACACAGGCTGGCTCATGCAGAACCATGCCATCGGACAGGTAAGATATAGCTGTGTGTGTTGAGCCATTAGAGATTAGTGCTTTGCACATTGCTGTGTGTCCTCTTTGCCCTGGGAGCTAGTGGTACAGCAGTGTTCTTGTAATGTTCAACTATTGTTTCAGGTGTTTGACTCCAACCTGAACAAAGACAAGCTGCTACGACTGAAACTTGGCGCTGGAAAAGTGATTAAGGTGAGTAATTTATGTCCTATGGGTGAATAATTTGGGTTGTATAGGCACAGCTGACACTTTTGTTCAAAATAATAGTAGGGGCATTCTATACATTTTACATTTAGATTTTTAGTCATTTAGCAGACGCTCTTATCCAGAGCTACCAGACTTGCATGGGGAACGCACAGCTTCCTCTCTCTTCTTTGATTGCTAGGGCTGGGAGGAGGGCATGCTGGGTATGAGGAAGTCAGGCCGGCGTCTCATGGTGATCCCCCCCAGTCTGGGCTATGGCTCCCAGGGAGTGGCCAGTCGCATCCCAGCAGACAGCACACTCATCTTTGAGGCAGAGATACGACGGGTAGGACCTCCAGCATCTCTGAAATGGGAGTGTCCAATAACTCTAAGCCAAAGGTCATATTTAATGAGTGTCTTTGTCTCGTCATGCCCCTCTGTTGTGTCCCCAGGTGAAGTTGGCGAAGGACAGTGGGTCTGACCGGGCCAGTGCTGGGTCTCAGGACTCTGCTGCCCCCTCACCTGCCCCCAGTGTGGAGAACCTGGGTCCGGACCTCCCGACAGGGCCCGCTCAGCCCCCTGCTACAAGCCCCGGGAGACCAGGGTAAGAGCAGGGGCCTACCTAAACACACTCACAACCAACTCCCCCAGCTCTTTTCTGTCTTTGTCCCTCTTTCCTCGACTCCTCATTGTTTTCATCCGCTCTTTTTCAGGGAACCACCACTTTGGGCAAAGTCGAATTCCATCAGTGAACAGTTGACAGTGAGTACTTTCTCTCTTTTTCTCTTCTGAGTCACATTAGACTTTAATATAAAACAGGCACAGCTAGGGCTGTGGCGGTCATGACATTTGGTCAGACGATTATTGTCATGCCAAAGACTGCTGGTCTCACAGTAATTGACTGTTAATTAACATAAACACGTTTAGCATCTCCAGGCCTCCACCCATACAAGCCGCTGATGCGCGCCTTTAAAAAAAAAAGTATAATAAATAAATGTAATATACACCATCACAATAAATCCATTATTTATTTTCCCCCTAGAGTCGCTTGACGCGTCGGTGTGTCAATCTAAGTTACAAAAAAAAAATATCCAGCAAAATCCGTCAGTTTTAAGATAGAGATATCTGCTTTTTGCATTGGATGTGTCTCAATCCACTGCATCCGCCAGTGTCACACTTCTGCATCTGCAGTGAAAGGTGGCAGAGCTAGAGCGGTGTTTGCCAGACCATGAGACATTCCAAAAATCGGTCTTCTAACGTAAACGTCTGTAGCGTCCGAACGGTTTGACCTACAAACTGTTATGACCACTCTATGGAAAGGGGAGACTCTCACGAACATGAGTGTCAGTAGATTCGTCTGAAGTCGGTACAGTCGATGTGCCAACTTCTGTTTGGTAGCGTCCAAACCGTTTGGGTTACAAACTAATGGGATCCCACTGTGGAAAGGGGAGATTCTCACGAACACAATGGTGTTCTCTGTTTTGTTCTAGGACCCCCACAAGTGTCACAGGACCCGTCTGAAGGTAACGGGTAAACCGGTAAAACCAAAACAAATTGAAGTACCAAGGTAGTTTTTGTGCTACCCCAAAAAAATAGGTTAAATATGTTTTTAAAAATATGTATTTCCTGATTTTTATTTTATTTTTTATATCTCCTAGATTTACGACAGACCTTCAAAACCTTGTTTTATTCAATGCGTTTCTATGGGCTTTAGTAGTAAAGGCCAAAATCAATATTTTATTAAATATGTTTTTAATTAAAATGTTTGATACCTTAAAGGGGTCCTAAAATTCCAAATCAAATAGCTAAATGATCCATAGTATGACCATCTTAAAACTATTCCATATGTCAGCTTAGCACCCCCCCTCCCCCAACGTCTTAGACTCTAAAGAAACATTATCATATGAAGAAAATGTATTTCAGTAGAATATGAGTTGGCCTACTGTAGGCCTATGTTATGTATGCTCCATGCCATAGGCTGTAGGCTTGTTCATTTAGCTGACAAGATATGCTTATAAGTCCCGTGCCGACGAAGATGGCTGCCTCGCGACTAGCTCTTAGGACACTTTGCAGTATTTTGTTTTTTTTATGTATTATTTTGTACATTATTAGCTCAGAAAGCCGGGAAAAACGAATGGATATCAGAGCGGCGGTAACTCACCAGCATTACGACCAGGAATACAACTTTCCCGAAGCAGATCCTTTGTTTGCTCTCCCCAGGGCAACTGAACTGATTCCAGCTGCTGACCCAAAACATCGCCGGCGGAGGAGAGGCACTCGGAGCGGCCTGCTGGTTCGACTTAGGAGGCACGCACATCACCCACCGCTTCCAAGTATTCTACTCGCTAATGTTCAGTCTTTGGTTAACAAAGTCAACGAACTACGGGCAAGGATTTCTTTCCAGAGAGACATCAAGGCCTGTAACATACTCTGTTTCACGGAAACATGGCTCTCTTGGGATATTCTGTAGAAATCGGTCCAGCCAGATGGGTTCTCAGTTCATCGCGCAGACAGGAATAAATATCTCTCCAGGAAGCAGAAGGGCGGAGGTGTGTGTTTCATGATTAACGACTCGTGGTGTAATTGTCGTAACATACAGGAACTCAAGTCCTTCTGTTCACCTGACCTAGAATATCTCACAATCAAATGCCGACCGTATTATCTCCTAAGATAATTTTCTTCAGTTATAGTCACGGCCGTGTATATCCCCCCTCAAGCCGATACCACGACGGCCCTCAAAGAACTTCACTGGACTTTATGCAAACTGGAAACCACATATCCTGAGGCTGCATTTATTGTAGCCTGGGATTTTAACAAAGCAAATTGGAGTAACTAGGCTGCCGAAGTTCTATCAACATATCGACTGTTGTACTCGCGCTGCTAAAATCCTCGACCATTGCTATTCAAACTTCCGGGATGGTTATAAGGCCCTCCCCCGCCCTCCTTTCGGCAAATCTGACCACGACTCCATTTTGATTCTCCCTTCCTATAGGCAGAAACTCAAACAGGAAGTACCTGTGCTAAGGACTATTCAACGCGGGTCTGACCAATCGGAATCCACGCTTCAAGATTGTTTTGATCACGCGGACTGGGATATGTTCCGGGTAGCTTCCGAAAATAATCTTGACATATACAGTGGGGGAAAAAAAGTATTTAGTCAGCCACCAATTGTGCAAGTTCTCCCACTTAAAAAGATGAGAGAGGCCTGTAATTTTCATCATCGGTACACGTCAACTATGACAGACAAATTGAGAAAAAAAATCCAGAAAATCACATTGTAGGATTTTTTAATGAATTTATTTGCTAATTATGGTGGAAAATAAGTATTTGGTCACCTACAAACAAGCAAGATTTCTGGCTCTCACAGACCTGTAACTTCTTCTTTAAGAGGCTCCTCTGTCCTCCACTCGTTACCTGTATTAATGGCACCTGTTTGAACTTGTTATCAGTATAAAAGACACCTGTCCACAACCTCAAACAGTCACACTCCAAACTCCACTATGGCCAAGACCAAAGAGCTGTCAAAGGACACCAGAAACAAAATTGTAGACCTGCACCAGGCTGGGAAGACTGAATCTGCAATAGGTAAGCAGCTTGGTTTGAAGAAATCAACTGTGGGAGCAATTGTTAGGAAATGGAAGACATACAAGACCACTGATAATCTCCCTCGATCTGGGGTTCCACGCAAGATCTCACCCCGTGGGGTCAAAATGATCACAAGAACCACAAGGGGGGACCTAGTGAATGACCTGCAGAGAGCTGGGACCAAAGTAACAAAGCCTACCATCAGTAACACACTACGCCGCCAGGGACTCAAATCCTGCAGTGCCAGACGTGTCCCCCTGCTTAAGCCAGTACATGTCCAGGCCCGTCTGAAGTTTGCTAGAGTGCATTTGGATGATCCAGAAGAGGATTGGGAGAATATCATATGGTCAGATGAAACCAAAATATAACTTTTTGGTAAAAACTCAACTCGTCGTGTTTGGAGGACAAAGAATGCTGAGTTGCATCCAAAGAACACCATACCTACTGTGAAGCATGGGGGTGGAAACATCATGCTTTGGGGCTGTTTTTCTGCAAAGGGACCAGGACGACTGATCCGTGTAAAGGAAAGAATGAATGGGGCCATGTATCATGAAATTTTGAGTGAAAACCTCCTTCCATCAGCAAGGGCATTGAAGATGAAACGTGGCTGGGTCTTTCAGCATGACAATGATCCCAAACACACCGCCCGGGCAACGAAGGAGTGGCTTCGTAAGAAGCATTTCAAGGTCCTGGAGTGGCCTAGCCAGTCTCCAGATCTCAACCCCATAAAAAATCTTTGGAGGGAGTTGAAAGTCCGTGTTGCCCAGCGACAGCCCCAAAACATCACTGCTCTAGAGGAGATCTGCATGGAGGAATGGGCCAAAATCCCAGCAACAGTGTGTGAAAACCTTGTGAAGACTTACAGAAAACGTTTGACCTGTGTCATTGCCAACAAAGGGTATATAACAAAGTATTGAGAAACTTTTGTTATTGACCAAATACTTATTTTCCACCATAATTTGCAAATAAATTCATTAAAAATCCTACAATGTGATTTTCTGGAGAAAAAAAATCTCATTTTGTCTGTCATAGTTGACGTGTACCTATGATGAAAATTACAGGCCTCTCTCATCTTTTTAAGTGGGAGAACTTACGCAATTGGTGGCTGACTAAATACTTTTTTTCCCCCACTGTACACTGAAACGGTGACTGAGTTTATCAGGAAGTGTATAGGTGGTGTTGTGCCCACTGTGACTATTAAAACCTACCCTAACCAGAAACCGTGGATAGACGGCAGCATTCGCGCAAATCTGAAAGCGCGAACCACCGCATTCAACCATGGCAAGGTGACTGGGAATATGGCAGAATACAAACAGTGTAGCTACTCACTCCGCAAGGCAATTAAACTGGCAAAACATCAGTATAGAGACAAAGTGGAGTCACAATTCAACGGCTCAGACACGAGACGTATGTGGCAGGGTCTACAGACAATCACGGACTACAAAAAGAAAACCAGCCACGTCGCCGACACCGACGTCTCGCTTCCAGACAAGCTAAACACCTTCTTTGCCCGCTTTCAGGATAACACAGTGCAACTGACGAGGCCCACTACCAAGGACTGTGGCCTCTCCTTCTCCATGGCCGACGTGATTAAGACATTTAAGCATGTTAACTCCCGCAAGGCTGCCGGCCCAGAGCATGCGCAGACCAGCTGGCTGGTGTGTTCATTGACATATTCAACTCTCCCTTTCCCAGTCTGCTGTTCCCACATGCTTCAAGATGGCCACCATTGTTCCTGTACCCAAGAAAGCAAAGGTAACTGAACTAAATGACTATCGCCCTGTAGCACATACCTCTGTCATCATGAAGTGCTTTGAGAGACTAGTCAAGGATCATATCACCTCTACCTTACCTGTCACTCTAGACCCACTTCAATTTGCTTACCGCCCCAATAGATCCACAGACGATGCAAATGCCATCACACTGATCATCAAGGACATCAACCACCCGAGCCACTGCCTGTTCACCCCACTATCATCCAGAAGGCGAGGTCAGTACAGGTGCATCAAAGCTGGGACCGAGAGAATGAAAAACAGCTTCTATCTCAAGGCCATCCGACTGTTAAATAGCCATCACTAGCACATTAGAGGCTGCTGCTGCCTATTGAAATTACTGGCCACGTTAAGAAATGGAACACTAGTCACTTAAATAATGTTTACATATCTTGCACTACTCATCTCATATGTATATACTGCATTCTATTCTATAATATTCTTCTGTATCTTAGTCCATGCCGCTCTGTCATTGCTTGTCCATATATGTATATATTCTTAAATCCCATTCCTTACTTTTTTGTGTGTATTGGGTATATGTTGCGTTTTTCTGGATTTTGTTGTTGTTATTCTGTCTCTAATAATAATAATAAAAATATGCCATTTAGCAGACGCTTTTATCCAAAGCGACTTACAGTCGTGCGTGCATAAATTCTTGTGTATGGGTGGTCCCGGGGATCGAACCCACTACCTTGGCGTTACAAGCGCCGTGCTCTACCAGCTGAGCTACAGAGGACCTCACTGTTCAAATAAACCTACCATTCAAATTATAGACTGATCATGTCTTTGTCAGTGGGCAAACGTACAAAATCAGCAGGGGATCAAATACTTTTTTCCCTCACTGTATGGGCTGCATGATGCGACTATAGGCTATTGATTTGAAAAAAAAAAAACAGCCACTCTGTTCCTTGCCTCAGGCTGCACAGCTGTTCTCTCATCAAGTGATCATATTTTCACCCATCAGACTTTTCTCAATTTAATCTTGTCTTTACTAATATTTTAATATGAGTTTCAAATTAGAATGGCCCATTATCAAATGGGCAGGAACAGGGGCAGGGGGGAAAATATGTCACCTGTATGCATTCCAATAGCGAATGGAGGCTGCACACTTTCCTGCCGGTCCATTTTGTAGGCTACTTCGGTTTTATAGCGGAGCATGTGCTTAATATGAGCAGCTGAGAAATAAATATAACACTTATTTCACTCCGTTTGAGGAGCATGCTCTCGCTGCCCGACAGGTGATATTCTGCCTAAACTCTATGTCATGGGCTCTCAAACCTTGTTCCTGCAGCTACCCAGTGCTTAATTTGGGAAACCAAATGAAATCTGTTAGGGAACATCAATAGTAACATGTTTTCACAACGAAACATATTTCACTAAACTGTTGACAGCCCGTCAGTGTGCTTAAGAAAGGAATAAAGGAGAGTGAAGGTAATGTCACTCAATTATTTATGAAAATATAAAAAAATTCCCTATTACTAGGCTATTCAAAATCAAATACAAATTCACTCATTGTAGGCTAACTGTTAGCCACCCTGCCCAATCAATGAACCAACAGCATCACCTAGGGCTATACATTCTCACCCAGAATCATGGATATACATTTAGGAGAGTAGCAGAAGGTAACCAGTTCATCCAGAATGTATAATGATACAGTCCACACTCAAAGACGATTACTTGAATTTGTTTACCAATTACAGTATGTACCAGTTTTTCTGGCCTGCATAATATGTAATATGCAGTAGGCTTTGTATTATATAACGGCACAATCATCATTTTAATTCAGTTTTTTTTTTTGGGGGGGGCTTGGGCTCCTAAGCCTATGCATAAGCGCTAATATGCATATGGGTGTTTTGATTTAATCATCACCTTAGAAAGCACTGTTCATTTCTTTGTTAGACTTTGAAACGACATCCACAACAACCATGTTTTACACTGTTTCAACCTGCTGTTGAACTTCTTTCTTCAAATTCACAGTCACAGTGAGCTGAGTTTTAAAAGTACTATAGGCCTACAGTTTTGATCATATGTTTTTTGATTAGATTTTCGAATGCATTTGTATTTATGTCAGAGTGGTTACAGGGACAATAGAGCCCTGAGTACCAGGCCATTAGAACCTGATGGTAGTTAGCAAGTTGGGTACTACCAAAGCATGTGGTAGTATAAAAGGAGTGCATAAAAGGAGATTACCGTGACTCAACGGTCACGTGGAATTTTACTGCGGTCATGACTCATGACTGCTGGTGTGGCAGTAATACGGTCACCGCAACAGCCCTAGGCACAGCTGACCTGTTACTAACCCAAGCCCTATCAGGCTGATGACGTATAACCTACTCCTTAATCTTCCCATTGCTCCAGAATCCAGATGCCACCAAAGCCAAGCTGATCTCTCGCATGGCCAAGATGGGCCAGCCCATGTTGCCCTTCATGGCAGGCCCCTCCTCTCAGCCAGACTCCAGCGACTCAGAGATGGAGGTGAGATCAAGGGTCCAAGGGGTTTATTCTCCATATAGCTGCACCTACAGTATATTAGTTGAGAAAAGTATTTGAGAGAAAATCTCTGTCTACCTCCAGGACCCCAGTGTGTCCAGGGTGAAGGAGCGTCCTGCTGCTCCCTCTCCTGTACAGATCTCCACTGTCCCCCAAGCTCCAGTGCAAGGTGAGCACTCCCACAACCTCTGATGGAGTCATCACTCTCCATGTTTAGCTGACCAATAGATAGGCCAATATCACTGTTTTTTAAGACCAATGTCTTGAATTGTACATATTAAATTTTTTCTCAAGTGCTTTCTCACCCTCACGGGGCACCGCCCTCTGCCTTGATGCCTGTTGCTATGACATCTGCCGCTCCGCAGCCTGTGATGTCAGGCTCCGCCCATGCCTTTCTGGTGAGAATGACCCATGTCATCTTCATCGTTCAACTGTCAAACAATTTAACTAATTTCCATGCTATTTTGTATTGACTTTAAGGCTAACCTCCCTTTCTAATGAAGCTCTCCTTATTCTCTGTTACCATTAAATCAGTCCATTATGTTCTTTCATAGCCTTACGCCTACCCACAGTCCTCTATGTCTCCCTCTCAACTTCAACTAATGGGCCAGATGTACCCCACCCAGACAGTACCATACATGGGAGGCACTGGTGAGGTCACTTCCTTCCTTATGGCTGAAGCTCGGCAGCACAACACTGAGATCCGATTGGCTGTCGGCAAAGTGGCAGATAAAGTGGACCAGTTGGCTTCAAAGGTCAGCAATAATATGAAGGGTATTTCTCTCTTTTTATCAGACATTTCCACCTCCAGTGTGACATCAGTTTTCCACTTCTCATCGATCCTCATGTTTTGACAGGTTGACGACCTTCAGAGGCAAGGAGGCCACTCATTGGCTATGCCCAGCATCACTATGGAAACCGCCATGATAATGCACAACATCCAAAGAATCATTCAGGTATAGTCTTTCAATTTCTTTAATATATATCTTTCTTTTTTTTCATTAAATGTGTAACTGTCTTTATAGGAAAATGAATCTTTAAAGAAGGACGTGTACGAGAAGAGCTCACGTATAGAGGAGCAGAACCGCAAGATCGGGGAGCTCATCAACCAGAACCAGAGGTAAGACTTACAGTGATCTACTGAAGAGGACAACATTGGGCATATCTGAAATGGCACCTTATTCTCTATCTACCGCACTACTTTTGGCCAGAACAGAATCGGGGAATAGGATACCATTTCGAACACAGCCACGTTTCCATTCAAGCTGAGTTTCCCTGTTGTTGTCCAGGTACATGGAGCAGAGTAACCTGCTGATGGAGCAGAGGAATGTCTCCCTAAAGTCCTCCAGTGAACACAACCAGGCCCGGGTGCTGCAGACCGAGCAGGATAAGGTAGATCACAGCACCCACCCTACGTCTGTATATACTGTTATCACCCTGCAAGGATGAACTAACGTTCCCTTATACTCTCCCAGCCAGTGCCAATATGAGGTGTGATTATTTAATCCATAACGATGGCTCTAGGAATTATTCTCGTGACTAAAGGGTTTATTACAGTATCTAACATGGCTGTGGGGATTTCAGTGTCGTTTATGTCTGGGGACTAGACTAACAGAATAACACCTCCAGCCAGTGCTCCTGGCTGTTTGTCCTGCTATGTTAGTCTCAGGACCTTTAGTAGTGACTGTTCTCTCTTTCCAGCATGCTCTGCCTCAGGACCTGGGCTTGGACCAGGTGAGCCTGTTAGCTCACTCTCTGCCTCCCTCCACTCATCCTCCTCCCCGTCCCCCTTTTCACTAACTTTTCATTGATTACATTTTTTCTTTAACCCTTTCCTCCTCATTATCAGTCATCTTCATCTTCTTCCTACAGGGTCATGCGGTTAGAGGCCATGTTAACTCTGTCTCTCACTCATCATCACGTCCAGCCAATCACCATCACCACTGTCAACTCACTGTCTATGGCCGTGTCCCAAAACTCTGAGATGGCCTCCTTTCCTCGTCGCCTTTCCTTCATGACCACTGGAAAAAGGGCTAGACACTGACAGTTCCCACCATGTTGCTTTGCTTCCAGTCAGATTAGTGATCATAAAGGAAAGAAGATGAGGAAAATAAGCAATGTTAGGTTATTGGGACACAGCCTGTCTCTGGGTTGTGTATTGTATAGACAGACAACACTGGTGACTAACAGTGCTTGTCTCTGTCCCTCAGGTACGTCTGACAGAGGAGCTGGCCACGTGCACAGCACGGGTGTCCCAGCTGCAGCAGGAGGCCACCTCTCACCAGCAGAGGGCTGCAGAGCTGCAGAGCAAACTGACCTCCGTCCTGCAGGACAGCGACACACACTGCACACGCATCTCCTCCTTAGAGACCCAACTGGAAGGTATACGCTGCTCTTACATAATGATGTGCTATAAACATAATGTGTTTTATTTAGATGGGTTAGAGAGGTGTCAGTGAGAGTATGTTTTATATGAGAGTGTGTTCATCTTGGTGTGAGACGGAGGAAGTGTCACTAAAGGGGTTTGTGTGTGTGTAGAGCTGAAGGAGACAGCAGAGAGAGGCCAGGCTCAGTACCGCACAGAGAAGCAGAAATGCAAAGAAATGGATCTCAGGGTGAACAACATGGAGGAGGAGCTGCAGGACCTGAAGACTGACAAAGAAAGTATGGAACGAGTGAGTATGGCACACAGTGACTGTTCTTGTTGGTTTGTCTTTTAGATTTGGGCAACAATGCTTACATCAGTGTGCGTGGGCCTCTTTCAGACGTCCCTGGTAGAAATTGCCCAGAGGCAGAGATCTAGGATCAGCTTACAGTTCTCAGCTCCGCTCTCTTCAATCCTAAACCATAACCTTAACCATTAGAGTGGGAGAAGGACCTAAAACTGACGTTAGATCGGTGTCTAAGGGTATCTTCATCCTTCTCTCAGATGGTGTCGGACAGGAAGAGGAAGTGGCAGGCGGAGAGGCAGCGCTGTGATGAGGAGATGGAGGAGCTGAGGAGGAACAGCCAGCAGGATATGGAAAGTCTGAGGACACAGCTCCGCAAGGCCAGGACCAGCACTAGCCAGGCAGCCTCAGAACAGGTACTGTACAGGGTGTACAGTGTTTCCCCGATATTAATTTAGCAGCGGCGGGCTGCCCACTAGAGATGTTTCCATCAAAATGACTTTTTGCGGATAAAAGGCTGTGCGTGATGATCTTTTAAGATCCCATGTACTGAATAAAAAATACAAGTTAAATGGGTTTCCATCACATTTTCCACTCTACTGATGGTTTTATCACAAAAACGGTTGTGTGATCTAGCTGGTCCATTCTGGTCTTGGCACATGCGCTCTAGCCTAACCAACAGCTTGCAGATACAGTGTGGGTAGGCTATCTACATTATGAGATTATTACGGATAAGAGCTTATTTTATTTGTATTTGTCAAACGGCAGCTAAGCATCGATCATCATGTCCCCAGAATAAGACCCTCGATATTTATTGGAAAGGAACATCAAGCTCATCACCTTGCACATTGATCACCCTGTGAAGTTCATCATAACTTATTTCATCTGTAGTCTAATAAACTGCATGCTTTCCCGAGTTGTAGTGGGAGGACCACACAACATATCATCACGTGACTCCAAGTTTATTTCGATATGATGGTTATTATATCAATATTTGCGCATAAAGGTGTTTCCGTCGTCATTTCTCGCATAATTAACTTTACAGACACAAAAGAGTCCACCATGGCGAACGAACAAATTGTATGTCAGCATTTATAAAGCTGTACCGGCATTTCATGTTGCAATCAGCCCGTCATGACTTTTTTCATGCCTCAGGTAATTCATCCACATGAAATGGTTGGATGGAAACGTTATTACATAGGGAGAATCTAAAATTCTAATAATGTCATGGCATGGGGCCCGTATTGATTACATTATAATGTTTGAGTTACTTAGATAGCATAAGAACACTGGATAAGCCATGGCAAACTGCCATGGAATTGCAGGAAATTAGCTTTAAAGTAATTGTCCAGTGTTTCCAGATTCCTATGAAATATGACCTTATAATTACTTACAATATGAGTGAAATAGTTTTCCTTCCAAAAAATTGTATTTAAATATCTTAAAAAGCAGCTATTCTGTGTTGGAATGGTGTGGGGGTACACCAACAACAGAATGGTGTGGGCGTATACCGGTCATTAAAATATTAATACGAGTAGACCGCTGATTGGCCAGCTCATCCTCCTCTAGACCGCTGATTGGCCAGCTCATCCTTCTCAGAAGTATAACATCATACTCTAATTATGAAATAGCAAGCGTATTTTCAACGGTCTGTTTGAGATACAAGTTTGAGGTGTGTTTTTTTTTTCATGTTTTTTTTCTCCAATTTATGCTTTGGCCACATGAGTATAGGATGAGTCAACAACATTATTTGGGTGTGAGTTAACAGAATATGAACTTTTAATGAGAGATTTGCACTGGACAGTTACTTTAAAACTGCACATTTTCTCTCAGCCCCATGGCAAAATGTGTAGAATTGAAGGAAATGAGCTTTAAAACAGTGTGTTCCTTTCTCTCAGCCCCATCACAACACCCCCACCCCCCCTACTCTAACTTGGCCACCGCTACTGAAAAAAGTCCTAGGGGAAACACTGGTGTATATGTGTTTGTCTATGGGGAGGAAGTGATAAATAATAACACAAATATATTTACACAGCTAAATCTCCTTTTGGATACGCTTTTTTGTCTGAGAATTTTGTGTGTGTGCCTGACTGCTTGTGTCTGTGTTTTTGCATGTGTGTTCCAGTTAGCCCAACTGCAAGCGGAGCTGGAAGAGGAGTGGAAGGAGAAGTGTGAGCAGGCGTTGGCCTCGGCCAAGGAGCAGCAATGGCGTGAGATGGCCGACCTGGCAGAGCAAAGAAACACACTGGAGCAGAGACTGACCCAGCTACAGGAAAAGGTCAACAGCCTAACCCATATTATACCGTACACAAAGCTTTCTCTCTCACGACGTCCCTTTGGACTCCTGAGTTCATACATAGTTTTATAATGTGTGGCTAAGGGGGGATTTGTTACTGTTGTTCTACAACAATGGAACGACATAAGTACAAGGCTGTGAAGTTTCATTATTGTGTAGCTTTAATCTATGAGAGTCTAGTGGTGCGGAACCCTAACTGGCTCCCTTTCATTCTAACAGTTCTCAGCTCTGAAGCAGTCCAGGGACTCAGAGGAGCAGTGCTTGCTACAGCAGCAGGGCCAGAGCGAGGAGCTGCAGGTCCTACAAGAAAAGGTATTGATCTGGTTACGTGTTAGTAATAGCATTAGCAGCTAACTCTCTCCATAATGTTATGAAGCCCTCTCTCTCTCGCTCGCTCGCTCTCTCAGTATTCAAGCCTGGAGGAGCAGTGGTCAGCTGTGAGACAGAAGCTGGAGGGGCGAGTGGCTGAGCTGGAAAGGAGGCTGGCAGAGCAAGGGGACCAAGCGGACAGTGCAGGACAGGACACTGCTGGAGAGGTGAGAGGGACACAGAGACATGTTTTCATTCAGACAGCTGTGTCTTTCTTACCTGGAAAAATGGGCAGTAGATATTTGGTTTAAACCAAAACTTAGAACATACATTCTTGTCAAAGAGAACTACAGCCCTGACCCATATGTCAGTCTGAACTTAACAAAAGGCCAAAGGTCAGTCCTAAAAAAATATAAATAAAATGCTCACCTTGAGGTGTTCTGGCTACATGACGAACACAGGCTAGTATTCTTTTTCAGAAAAGGAGATTTCGACATCGCCCAATTTATTTTCTAAGCCTCGGGAGAAGGAGAAGTGTATAGTTTGTATGATGTGACAAGGTGAAAGCTGTACTTTTGTTATGCATTAAAAATATATATATGTGTTTTGTTCACACGTACTTAAAGAAATAGTGTTTTATAAGCCCATACGGGCTGCGCACTAATTGTATTTCATGTTTTGACCCTGGCCCTGTTTTCCTGGCAGGTGAAGCGTGTAATGAATGGAGTGTTTCACTCTCTGAGGGGGGAGTTTGACCTACACGAGACTTACACAGGCAGCACTGTGCTCGGAGTAATCGTCAACACCATAAAGGTACAGCATCTCTTCAGGACAATGACCAAAACTGTTATGTCTTAATACCATGTTATTCACAATGAAGATGGCCTGAAAAGGATTTGGGTGAATTAATGTTGGTCTTTGACCCTTTACAGAGTGTTACCTTGCAACTGCTCAACGGTACTGAGAGACCTTCATCCCATCTGAGGGAAGAAGAAGAAGAAGAAGAAGAAGAAGAAGAAGAGGTGGACAGTGGTGTGAGGCATAGAGAGGAGAGACCACCACAGGATGTCCATGTGAATGGGAAGGAAGGAGAGGAGGAGCAGAGGACAGAGCCTGAGCAGCCTAGTGAGTCCCCTGTGCAGAGGGAGGGAGACCCCAGAGATGTGCAGGAGAGGGCTCACCTTGAAGCAGAACCAGAGACGAAGAAACCGACTCGAGTGGAGCCAGAGGCAGATATCGACACAGATCCAGAGCACCAACCACTCTCAACCCAGCCACGACCACCATCTCCCCAGCCACAGGGAGAGATCACCACAGAGCCTTCGGAACCCACTGACATAAACCCTGAGGAGAATCTGCCCTCTGAGATGGGACAGCAAAACTCAGTCCAAAGGTGACACAAGTAGCCCAGACGTGAAGAAAGTGGGTGTGACTATTGAAGGGTCCCCTGGGTGAAATGGAAATAACTAGTTCCAAAGCCACAGGTCCTCCAACACAGCCTCCACCTCCACCAAGCCCTCTGCATGATAGTCCTGGGAAAGTAACAAGGTGAGTTCTATAGAGACCAGTGAACTAATACACAACCAAGTTTAATTTAACTGAGCCTTATCTATGTTTGTAATAAGTCTGTTGTCCCTTGCATGAATTCCTGCATATATCTCTTTCTCACCTCCTCTTAACCCCTCCCTCTATGTCCATTCACACTTGTGTGTTTTACTATTCTCTCAGTCTGACTGAGGGAGTAGGAGAGGAAAATGGGAAGGAGCCATTTTTCCTGAGCACAGCCCAAACCAAACCCCTACCCACTGAGGAGGAGGATGATGAGCTGGTGAGGAAGGATCTGTAGAGCCACACCAGTTATCTCAGATGTCTACACACTGCTTCTGTTCCCCTTGTTTGTCAGTGAAGCCTATGTTTATCTGTTTCATGGCTTACTCTGAATAGTACATCAGGTAACGCAAAGATGGTTTCGGGATCGAATTCAGTGGCATTCTTTGCTGTTGAATTTCTATGACTGGAACTTGTTCTGAATTACTTAATTTATTTCTGAACAGTGTTTTGTGGTTGGTCAGCAGAGGACTACTGAACACAACTCACATTTCATATACTTTTCCCATGTTTTCTCAGAGCTTGAAGGGGCAACCTCCCCCAGCCCCTCTGTTTGGCGATGAAGAGGATGAAGATGATGATCTTGACTGGCTGGGATGAGCAACAACTGAAGTGATGAAAGTCTTATGAGTCTTAAAGTCCAGATGGAGGGACAGGCCCTCCTCTAGAGATATATCATTTCCACTGTCCTAAAAGAGACTATACATGGAAGGACATGTGGTGAACTCCGTCTCAGTCTGAGATAAGGCAACTCTGAACAAGTGAGTGAGAAGGACGTCCTGTCTGACTGCTCTGAACACTGCGGTTAGAGACCTGTGCCGTGTTGAGATCTGTTGGGCGGACCTGACTGCTGCTGCTGCCTGGAAACCACCTTTAATCAATTAAGTCTGATGAAATCCACCAGAAATATTTATCCCCCCCCCCCCCCCCCCTCCTCTGTTGTTGTTTCGTTTCCAACTTTACCCTTTCTTGTATTTCCTTAAGATATTGCACTAGAGAGATTTCTGGATCATTTTGGTGCTGACATTCCATAATCAAACCAACAACTTGCAAAATGTAATACTGATACTTGCAATTAAAACATTTTAAAAACACATTGACAAAAAACTGGATCAGAATTTGGTGTTGACAGACATTTCCATAATACAATATAATAATTAAATATACCCAGAATGATTTATGTCATGCGTATGGAGAGCTGTGCAGGGCAACCTCCAAGACAGGATGGGTGTGGGTGTAAAAACAACTTTGACCAGCAGGTGGAGAATGAGAAGAACTAGTATGGAAGTGTCTCGCTGTTGCTTGGTAACGCTTAAGTTCTGAAAGGTTGCTCTTGGGTAGCTACCGTTCTTGCTAGAACAGTTGTTTAGCTAGCCCCTACATTGATTTTTCTTAGCCTATTCCATTCACTTGTCTGGCTTGCCCTCCATGAGGTACGTATCCGTTGCACTGGGATGTTTTTTTCTCAATAACTATCAGCAGAGTTATTGTAGAGGTGGCTGGCCTAGCTAGCTAGCGAGGCTTCTCTGAATGTTTTGAAGTTGTTTCCTTCCAATGAATGAGACAGACAGAGAACAATGGGGCTTCGCCAAAGAAGTAAGCAGCTCTCTTCTAATATACATACAGTGAGGGAAAAAAGTATCTGATCCCCTGCTGATCTGTTTGCCCACTGACAAAGAAATGATCGGTCTATAATTTTAATGGTAGATTTATTTGAACAGTGAGAGACAGAATAACAACAACAAAAAATACAGAAAAACGCATGTCAAAAATGTTATGAATTGATTTGCATTTTAATGAGGGAAATAAGTATTTGACCCCTCTTTAAAACATGACTTAGTACTTGGTGGCAAAACCCTTGTTGGCAATCACAGAGGTCAGACGTTTCTTGTAGTTGGCCACCAGGTTTGCACACATCTCAGGAGGGATTTTGTCCCACTCCTCTTTGCAGATCTTCTCCAAGTCATTAAGGTTTCGAGCCTGACGTTTGGCAACTCGAACCTTCAGCTCCCTCCACAGATTTTCTATGGGATTAAGGTCTGGAGACTGGCTAGGCCACTCCAGGACCTTAATGTGCTTCTTCTTGAGCCACTCCTTTGTTGCCTTGGCTGTGTGTTTTGGGTCATTGTCATGCTGGAATACCCATCCACGACCCATTTTCAATGCCCTGGCTGAGGGAAGGAGGTTCTCACCCAAGATTTGACGGTACATGGCCCCGTCCATCGTCCCTTTGATTCAGTGAAGTTGTCCTGTCCCCTTAGCAGAAAAACACCCCCAAAGCATAATGTTTCCACCTCCATGTTTGACGGTGGGGATGGTGTTCTTGGGGTCATAGGCAGCATTCCTCCTCCAAACACGGCGAGTTGAGTTGATGCCAAAGAGCTCAATTTTGGTCTCATCTGACCACAACACTTTCACCCAGTTCTCCTCTGAATCATTCAGATGTTCATTGGCAAACTTCAGACGGGCATGTATATGTGCTTTCTTGAGCAGGGGGACCTTGCGGGCGCTGCAGGATTTCAGTCCTTCACGGTGTAGTGTGTTACCAATTGTTTTCTTGGTGACTATGGTCCCAGCTGCCTTGAGATCATTGACAAGATCCTCCCGTGTAGTTCTGGGCTGATTCCTCACTGTTCTCATGATCATTGCAACCACGAGGTGAGATCTTGCATGGAGCCCCAGGCCGAGGGAGATTGACAGTTCTTTTGTGTTTCTTCCATTTGCGAATAATCGCACCAACTGTTGTCACCTTCTCACCAAGCTGCTTGGCGATAGTCTTGTAGCCCATTCCAGCCTTGTGTAGGTCTACAATCTTGTCCCTGACATCCTTGGAGAGCTCTTTGGTCTTGGCCATGGTGAAGAGTTTGGAATCTGATTGATTGATTGCTTCTGTGGCCAGGTGTCTTTTATACAGGTAACAAGCTGAGATTAGGAGCACTCCCTTTAAGAGTGTGCTCCTAATCTCAGCTCGTTACCTGTATAAAAGACACCTGGGAGCCAGAAATCTTTCTGATTGAGAGGGGGTCAAATACTTATTTCCCTCATTAAAATGCAAATCAATTTATAACATTTTTGACATGGGTTTTTCTGGATTTGTTTTGTTGTTATTCTGTCTCTCACTATTCAAATAAACCTACCATTTAAAATTATAGACTGATCATGTCTTTGTCAGTGGGCAAATGTACAAAATCAGCAGGGGATCAAATACTTTTTTCCCTCACTGTAATATCACACTACTTAGATTGAACCAATGTATTGGGAATGCTAAAGTGGTATGCTAGCATGGACATTGGAAATAGCTAGTGTGTAGCACATGTACAGGACTAAATGATTGCACTCACTCAGTCTCTCAAGTGTAGTCCATGGGCAGCCTTGCCAGTGAGGTTCTGGATGAGGCCCACTGTTTCTGGGCCATGTGTCCTCATCCTTGCTTCTAGGGAGTTGGAGCAGCGCATTGCCAAAGGCATCCCACTCCACATAAAGTCCAGAACATCAGATACGGGAAGACCCCCTCTGTAGAGGGTAGGCAGTCATGTATTCAATTTCTCTCTATCTCAAACATACACACACACACAGAGCAGTACCACAAAATGCATTGAGCAGCTGCTGGTTCATATATGGACCATTATGTCAAAGTTGATTGAGAGTGCTGTTCTTTCTGTTCTATCAGTGGAAAGGTTTCCAACCCTTAGTGTGGTTAATGTATCAGAGTGGACTGAAGGCTGAAAGACCCCTAAAGTTAAGTTGCTCAACAAGATGAGAATTTTGCCACAGATGCCTCTCTAACTCTTCCCTCCAGCCAGTCACAAGCCCACCAGAGGGAGCACAACACAAGGTTGGAGAGGTGAGAGAGAACAGAACAGGGTTCTAGCGTAATACAATTCAATATAGTAAGTATATTGCCATTGGCCATCCAGTATACTGCAACAGAAAGCACCAAAAAATTACTTTGAGTCATACATTTTAGTTGAAGATGTTTAAAAGTTAGAACAATAGATTTGCATAGGGGTCTACATTGCAGCAACTCCAACACTCTCATTCTTTGCAGTGTAGATCTTCACTTTCCAGGGTTCAACTCTGTCGACCATAGTCCTAGTGACAAGCAACACAAGGGAGTAAAGGTTGGTCACAGTTACACTTGCAGATAGTAAGCCTAAAGTCAGACGCAAGGCTGTTGTGGATGTTATTGCAGCTCAGCACAGCCCAGATCAATCAGTTGGTCAGCTGCTGCAGTGCATCATGGGGCTCTGGCTCCCTAGTGTTGTGGATACCCAATCCCCAACACATCCCTCAGTGCCACACCCAAAACAGGTCATATGATGTATTGTATTTGATGTAGATTGTATCTTTAACTTTCATCATATCAGTCACTTTATGTTGTACTTTTGATGTTATAGCCCTTAGAAGTTTGCATTGTTTGCATACCACAACTTTTTTAGACATTAAACTTGGCAGATATGCAGATTTTGGTGTCAAATGGCCTTTTTTGAACACAGGCATCTCCCCATGTAGCTGTGAAAGAGCTAATTTGCCTTCTGTCCTCAAAAACCTCCAAAATGGTGAGTACCATATTTTCACTGCTTTCGTAAATTGAATGTGGCAGGCTATTTATCTTTGTATTACATTAGTGAAAATGAAAACGCCTATATCGTTTACCAGTTACATTTACTCATCTATATTGAATGTTATAGAACAGAAAGAAGTCCAATAATGTGTGGAAGAGGGTGCAGTTCCAGTAGACACCATTGATGTCACAGCTGAGAAGTGAGCATGGGTTGGGCTCCCTAGTGGCACAGCAAGCTGTCCATCCAAAAGACCTTGTCCTGGCCAAGCCTGACACTGACCCTAAGAGGGAGGAGGAGGATGCTGGAAGCCCCCAGGCCCAGAACCAGGAGATTCTGTCATTGGAGGCTAGCCCAGAGTCCCAGACCAAGGCTCAAAAACACCCACTCCCCCCTCAGCACCCAGGGTCCCCAGTGCTTTCCTCCTCAGGAACAAGCCTCTGGTGTTCCACAGTGTCATGGGAGAGGATGCTGAGGCGACACCCAGCAGGATCGCTCAACATACAGATTGGACAGCAAGGTCACTCATACTGTCATACTACTGCCCCATGGCATTATTTTGTAACTCTTAAGTATGGCTGACCTATGATCTGACTGGTCATTAAAAGGGGTGTCTCCAGTGCTCTTTGAGTGAAATGGAATGCATAGAGTACATGTAACTAACAGGCGTGAAACCTGCTGCCTCTCAGTCATTATTCGTCAGGCTTGCTGAGTGGTTGAGAGAGGGGAAAAACCCTGCTTTGGCTCCACATGTCTAGCAATGAGGGAGAGTCACGGGAGAGTGAGACTGGGCATTGGTTCTGGAGATGCAGGCCCTGATAGCTCTTATTACAGTGAGCTTTTCTGCCTAGTTTTATAACTCAGTGTTTATTTTCTGTTTTCAACATCTCATGTAGAGAGTGGTCAGTGGTCACGTACTTCCTTGATTATCCGTGCTTTAGTCCAGGAAGAATGTAAGAAATTCCTCCTCAGCTGTTCATAAACAAACTTAACTGAATGATTTCCAAATATACTGTCTGGGATGTATGCTACTTGTTGTAGACAACACTTGTCCATCATAATGTCCTGTTGGTGTGTGTAATGAGGAGAGGAACTGCTATTTCATAGGATTTAGTTTAGTCAATGAAAATAAACTAATATTGTAGCGTTGCACTTGAATAAGGCAAATCTGGCAACCCATGTTGTTTTGTTTGAGAATAATATACGTTTTTTTTTCTTCTTCTCTCTTCATGGCTCTTACTCTAGACTGGAGGGGATGGCATTGACTGGGATAGTTTGAGAAGACAGACCTACAGTGCATTCAGAAAGTATTCAGATCCCTTTACTTTTTCCACATTTTGTTATGTTACAGCCTTAAAAAATTTAAAAATCCTCAGCAATCTACACAGAATACCCTATAATGACAAAGTGAAACCAGGTTTTTGACATTTTTGCAAATGTATTAAAAATTAAAAACAACATAAATACCTTATTTACATAAGTATTCAGACCCTTTGCTATGAGATTCGAAATTGAGCTCAGGTGCATCCTGCTTCCATTGATCATCCTTGAGATGTTTCTACAACTTCATTGGCGTCCACCTGGGGTAAATTCAATTGATTGAACATGATTTGGAAAGGCACAGAACTGTTTATATAAGGTCCCACAGTTGACAGTGCATGTCAGAGCAAAAATCAAGCCATGAGGTTGAAGGAATTGTCCGTAGAGCTCCGAGACAGGATTGTGTCGAGGCACAGATCTGGGGAAGGGTACCAAAACATTTCTGCAGCATTGAAGGTCCCCAAGAACAGTCGCGTCCATCATTCTTAAATGGAAGAAGTTTGGAACCACCAAGACTCTTCCTAGAGCTGGCCTCCCGGCCAAACTGAGCAATCGGTGGAGAAGGGCCTTAGTCAGGGAGGTGACCAAGAACCCGATGGTCACTCTGACAGAGCTTTAGAGTTCCTCTGTGGAGATGGGAGAACCTTCCAGAAGGACAACCATCTCTGCAGCACTTCACCAATCAGGCCTTTTATAGTAGAGTGGCCAGACGGAAGCCACTCCTCAGTAAAAGGCACATGACAGCCCGCTTGAGTTTGCCAAAAGGCACCTAAAGACTCTTAGACCATGAGAAACATGAACTCTTTGGCCTGAATGCCAAGTGTCACGTCTGGAGGAAACCTGGCACCATCCCTACAGTGAAGCATGGTTGTGGCAGCATCATGCTGTGGGGATGTTTTTCAGCGCAGGGACTGGGAGACTAGTCAGGATCGAGGGAAAGATGAATGGAGCAAAGTACAGAGAGATCCTTGATGAAAACCTACTCCAGAGCACTCAGGACCTGACTGGGGCTAAGGTTCACCTTCCAACAGGACAACGACCCTAAGCACACAGCCAAGACAACGCAGGAGTGGCTTCAGGACAAGTCTCTGAATGTCCTTGAGTGGCCCAGCCAGAGCCTGGACTTGAACCTGATAGAACATCTCTGGAGAGACCTGAAAATAGCTAACCTGACATAGCTTGAGAGGATCTGCAGAGAAGAATGGGAGAAACTCCCCAAATACAGATGTGCGACGCTTGTAGCGTCATACCCAAGGAGAGTCAATGCTGTAATCGCTGCCAAAGGTGCTTTAACAAAGTACTGAGTAAAGGGTCTGAATACTTATGTAAATGTGATATTTTAGTTTTGTATTTGTTATAAATTAGCAAATATTTATAAAAACCTGTTTTTGCTTTGTCATTATGGAGTATTGTGTGTAGATTGATGAGGGGGAAAAAAACAATTTAATCAATTTTAGAATAAGGCTGTAACGTAACAAAATGTGAAAAAAGTCAAGGGGTCTGAATACTTTCCGAATGCACTGTATCTGTGGAGAAAGCACAACCTTCCACCCAACTGTGACAGAGAGAAGCCATCGCCCCCAGAGGACATAACTGTTAGCCGGCCAGCCCAGCAGTGGGATGGCTTTAGCTTCTACCCCATCCCTAAGGCCATGCTCCATCACCACCCCAGGAGCCCTCTGTCCATAGGTAACACTGGATCTCTAGGCTACATATGCATGCAGGCCAGGAGGCTTTGCCATGCTGTCACAGAGAGGCTTACAGACTTGTAGATCTGACAATGAATGGATTAAGTTGATTAAAGAACATCTCATTTGTAACAAACGTGTGCATATATACAGTTGAAATCAGAAGTTTACATAAACTTAGGTTGGAGTCATTTAAAACTTGTTTTTCAACCACTCCACACATTTCTTGTTAACAAACTATAGTTTTGGCAAGTCGGTTAGGACATCTACTTTGTGCATGACGCAAGTAATTTTTCCAACAATTGTTTACAGACAGATTATTTCACTTAACTGTATCACAATTCCAGTGGGTCAGAAGTTTACATACACTAAGTTGACTGTGCCTTTTAAACAGCAAATTCCAGAAAATGATGTCATGGCTTTAGAGGCTTCTGATAGGCTAATTGACATAATTTGAGTCAATTGGAGGTGTACCTGTGGATGTATTTCAAGGCCTACCTTCAAACTCAGTGCCTCTTTGCTTGACATCATGGGAAAATCAAAAGAAGTCAGCTAAGACCTTAGGAAAAAAATTGTAGACCTCCAATTGGGAGCAATTTCCAAACGCCTGAAGGTACCACGTTCATCTGTACAAACAATAGTTCGCAAGTATAAACACCATGGGACCACGCAGCCGTCATACCACTCAGGAAGGAGACACGTTCTGTCTCCTAGAGATGAATGTACTTTGGTGCGAAAAGTGCAAATCAATTCCAGAACAACAGCAAAGGACCTTGTGAAGATGCTGGAGGAAACAGGTACAAAAGTATCTATATCCACAGTAAAACTAGTCCTATATCGACATAACCTGAAAGGCCGCTCAGCAAGGAAGTAGCCACTGCTCCAAAACCGCCATAAAAAAGCCAGACTACAGTTTGCAACAGCACATGGGGACAAAGATCGTACTTTTTTGAGAAATGTCCTCTGGTCTGATGAAACAAAAATAGAACTGTTTGGCCATAATGACCATCGTTATGTTTGGAGGAAAAAGGGGGTGCTTGCTAGCCGAAGAACACCATCCCAACCGTGAAGCACGGGGTGGCAGCATCATGCTGTGGGGGTGCTTTGCTGCAGGAGGGACTGGTGCACTTCACAAAATAGATGGCATCATGAGGAAGGAAAATCATGTGGATATATTGAAGCAACATCTCAAGACATCAGTCAGGAAGTTAAAGCTTGGTCGCAAATGGGTCTTCCAAATGGACAATGACCCCAAGCATACTTCCAAAGTTGTGACAAAATGGCTTAAGGACAACAAAGTCAAGGTATTGGAGTGGCCATCACAAGCCCTGACCTCAATCCTATAGAACATTTGTGGGCAGAACTGAAAAAGCGTGTGCGAGCAAGGAGGCCTACAACCTGACTCAGTTACACCAGCTCTGGCAGGAGGAATGGGCCAAAATTCACCCAACTTATTGTGGGAAGCTTGTGGAAGGCTACCCGAAATGTTTGACCCAAGTTAAACAATTGAAAGGCAATGCTACCAAATACTAATTGAGTGTATGTAAACTTCTGACCCACTGGGAATGTGATGAAAGAAACAAAAGCTGAAATAAATCATTCTCTCTAATATTATTCTGACATTTCACATTCTTAAAATAAAGTGGTGATCCTAACTGTCCTTAGACAGGGCATGTTTACTAGGATTAAATGTCAGGAATTGTGAAAAACTAAGTTTAAATGTATTTGGCTAAGGTGTATGTAAACTTCCGACTTCAACTGTAGGTGTGTTGGTGTGATACCGATAGAGAGAAAGATTTCAAAGAACGTTGAGGAAGATGTGTGTGTATTGCAGGTCCTGCTGTTTGGCGCTGCCTGGACTGTGTGGACGGGATGTGGCGTGGCCATGGTGGTGTTCCACTGGCCTCCAAGTGCCATCTGTCATTGGTGTCAAACAATTCCTTCAGGTTCTGTAGCAGCTCCAACCTCAGCTGTCAAAACCCTTCGCAACCAAGTAAGTGTCTGACTCTACACCTCTCAAAGCTAGCCAAAACATTCAGCATGAACCAATAAAAATTCAGCCCTGCATTTGAAACTCATTTCCCATGTCCTCTAAGCTCCTAGATAGAGATGAGTTAAGTGATGTGGGCACCATCGCTCGATTTTCCTTCAGGACACAGCTTCGACAGATGTGGTCAGTATATCAAAACAGTATAGGATTTTTTAAAATGTTTTGTTATTGTATCATCATTCATCTGCTACTTTTTTAAATGTATTTGTGCATCAGAAGTGTTAAAATATGCATTTTATTCTCATTGATTATTTTCCTCATCTCCGTGTGATTCCACAGACTGTCAAGGAGATGATCCATTTGGCCTATGCCCAAGGAGGTCTAGGAGCCCTAGAGAGGACAAGGAGGAGCTCTGAGGACAAAGGCCACAGGCCCTCAGGGTCCCAGCCATCCCTTCCACCCACTAGCGTCAACTCGGATACAAATGGAAATGGTAAACCTTGAAAAGGAAGAAAGACACTGAAAGATCCAGGACTAAGACCCGGGAGTAAATAACCTCATAAGGCCTGTGAACATTCATATATTTCATCCAGAGCTATCCTTATATTTTAGATAAATAAATAAATAATATTTCTGGTTGCTTGCTTTTTTTATGTCATAGTATAGCCTAATGTGGTAACATAACAATATGTTACATAATTTCTACAGGCCTAATCCTTATTCAACAATCAACTATCTCATGATTCAGTATTTGATTATTTGACATAAGTCAGCTTCATGGCAGCCTTGGGTATCAGGATTGTAGGTGCTCATCACCACAGGGTGGTGGTGCAGAGGGTGGTGCGGTCTGCCCAACGAATCACAGGAAGGCCATCAAGGACCTCAGCCACCCGAGCCATGGCCTGTTTACCCCACTACCATCCAGAAGGCGAGGTCAGTACAGGTGCATTAAAGCTGGGACCGAGAGACTGAAAAACAGCTTCTATCTAAAGACTCATCAGACTTAAATAGTCACCACTAGCCGGCCTCCGCCCCTTACCCTACCCTGAACTTTAGTCACTAGCCGGCCACCACCCGGTTACTCAACCCTGCACCTTAGAGGCTGCTGCCTATGTACATAGACATGGAACACTGGTCACTTTAATAATGTTTACATACTGTTTTACCCACTTCATATGTATATACTGTATTCTTGTCAAGTCCTATCCTATTTAACTATTGCTGTACATATACTATTCTATACTACGTATTCTTCAGGTATACCACATATTCTATCCATATACTGTCCATAATGTTTATACATCCCATCATATATATATATATATATATATATATATATATATATATATATATATATATATATATATATATATATATATATATATATATATATATATATATATATATATTACACAGTGGCTACCCGTCACTGTATATATCTTTTTAATTTTGGGGGGTTTTGCTTGTTTTGCATGTTATTTTGTCATTAATACGTGTCACATCATTTTGCGAACAATGAATTTAAAAAATATATAATTTAGTTAATAAAGCCGCATTCAAACATGGTCTCTTTTTTGTTTTCTTGAGTAAGGCAGCTCCAAAATGCAGGTGTTTGAGCCTAGCTCAGTGCTTTCTGTGGTGGTGGGGCAAGCCAGCAGAAAATATGTAGTGTTGCGCCGTGATTGGCTCAGTGTTCTGTCACTCATTGGGACACTACTAACCACCAAGTCTAAGGGTAGAGCTAGAAAATTCAAGCCCCTTGGGTGCTGCCATAGAGTTACATTAGAAGTGCCCATCAAAGAAGGCTCAAGGTCATTGGCCACAGATAAAATGATGTCAAACCACGTTAAATCTACAGTAGCTTTGATTGGACCGATCATGTCAACATCATACTTTCAAAATCTTAGCTAGCAGTCGTCATCATCATGAATCAAGTCAACAATCTACTGGCAAATCCTTTTTAATCCTTGTCATATGAATATACATTATAGATCAGTGCTCATCGGCCATTGGACACAAACATTACACAACAAGTTGGAAATCGCAAATTCAACAATGAGTGGTTTGGAAGGAATCAGTGGCTAACTACAAGCATTGCAAAGCAATCATTAGCCTGCTGTTCAGTGGAGTGGCTGTATGGTCCCAAGTCTAAGATTTAAGGGTCTCTTTTCCTAGTAAAAAATTATAAACATTCAACATTGGCCATGCTATCAATGAAGCATGATTTGTGCTGCGCTCAAAACAACTTAACTCGGAACTGCAAAATCCGACTTTAGTGAGTTCAAGACAACTGGGAACTCAGGAAAAACGAACTACGACTGGGAAAATACGTTTTGAACTTTCATCCAACTCGGAATTGTAAATCCGGAACTCGGGCCTCTTTCTAGAGCTACGACCTGAAGATCACTGACATCATGTTTCGACCTTGTTTTTTTCGAGTTCCCAGTTGTCTTGAAAGCACCATAAATCCAGAGAATGCCAGACTTTGATGACAAAGTTTGATGACAGAATTTTCCCACGAAGGACCGCCGCGCCACCTTCCTGTTCAAGTGAGCAAAGCACAACAAGGTGAGTCCAAAAATGTATTGTATGCTGCTCCATAAATGATGTAATATGCCAGGGAGATAAGTATACTGTAGCTAAGAAAGTAATACTAAGTGTATGTTGTGTAGTAAGCTGTTAGTAGCCCATGTGTCTTACCCTAATAATTTGGTCTATTTTCACCTCTTAATTTCGCCTACTGTTCTGACTTGGTGGTGCACATGTAGCCTATAACATGTTTTAGAGAAATGTAATCTTTGAATATTGTAAGAGCTTTCATTGTCTGCTTATATGCCTCCTTTATTTTTCCTACGGTTCTGACTTGGTGTACAGGGAGAATACTGTAAGAACGGCCCATGTTCTGAATTCTGTCGCTGTACATTTCAAAAGTGCTGAACAAATAGTTATATTGACTACGTCCGTCCTAGCTCGCTCGTTAATGTCTTAAGTGAAATTACAGATTGCCTCTTATCCGCTTGTCGTCCCCTTATGCCATAGTTTGTACATTTCCATTGTCAGTAGAAACTACATTTGTTTAAGCAAGTCAGCCATATCAGCTATGTTTATTTTAAAGGCAGTAAATGAGGTTGAATGAACTGTTTCACTGCCAGACAAGGCTCCGCTGACAGCCAGGTGTAGCAGTGGTAAGGTGTTGGGACTGCTGTTGGGACTCTGCTGTTGGAACAGCTTTATGTAGGCCCTAACTGTTTGTGGGCACTGTTTGCAATTAATGTATTGTTTAGTGTTGTGTTGTGTAGTGGCTTTGCTGGCATGCATCCCACATTTTTTTTTTGTTTTGCACCACCAAGATTTACATGCTAAAATCGCCACTGTACAGTCGTGGTCAACATTTTTGAGAATGACACAAATACAAATTTTCACGAAGTCTGCTGCCTCAGTTTTGATGATGGCAATTTGCATATACTCCAGAATGTCATGAAGAGTGATCAGATGAATTGCAATTAATTGCAAAGTCCCTCTTTGCCATGAAAATGAACTTAATCCCCCAAAACTATTTCCACTGCATTTCAGCCCTGCCACAAAAGGACCAGCTGCCATCATGTCAGTGATTCTCTCGTTAACACAGGTGAGAGTGTTGACGAGGACAAGGCTGGAGATCACTCTGTCATGCTGATTGAGTTAGAATAACAGACTGGAAGCTTTAAAAGGAGGGTGGTGCTTGAAATCATTGTTCTTCCTCTGTTAACCATGGTTACCTGCAAGGAAACATGTGCCGTCATCATTGCTTTGCACAAAAAAGGGCTTCACAGGCAAGGATATTACTGCTAGTAAGATTGCACCTAAATCAACCATTTATCGGATCATCAAGAACTTCAAGGAGAGAGGATAAATTGTTGTGAAGAAGGCGTCAGGGCGCCCAAGAAAGTCCAGCAAGCGCCAGGACTGTCTCCTAAAGTTGATTCAGCTACGGGATCGGGACACCACCAGTGCAGAGCTTGCTCAGGAATGGCAGCAGGCAGCAGGAGCGAGTGCATCTGCACGCACAGTGAGGCGAAGACCTTTGGAGGATGGCCTGGTGTCAAGAAGGACAGCAAAGAAGCCACTTCTCTCCAGGAAAAACATCAGGGACAGACTGATATTCTGCAAAAGGTACAGGGATTGGACTGCTGAGGACTGGGGTAAAGTTATTTTCTCTGATGAATCCCCTTTCCGATTGTTTGGGGCATCCGGAAAACACCTTGTCCGGAGAAGACAAGGTGAGCGCTACCATCAGTCCTGTGTCATGCCAACAGTAAAGCATCCTGAGACCATTCATGTGTGGGGTTGCTTCTCAGCCAAGGGAGTGGGCTCACTCACAATTTTGCCTAAGAACACAGCCATGAATAAAGAATGGTACCAACACATTCTCCGAGAGCAACTTCTCCCAACCATCCAAGAACAGTTTGGTGACGACCAATGCCTTTTCCAGCATCATGGAGCACCTTGCCATAAGGCAAAAGTGATAACTAAGTGGCTCGGGGAACAAAATATCGACATTTTGGGTCCATGCCCAGGAAACTCCCCAGACCTTAATCCCATTGAGAACTTGTGGTCAATCCTCAAGAGGCGGGTGGACAAACAAAAACCCACAAATTCTGACAAACTCCAAGCATTGATTATGCAAGAATGGGCTGCCATCAGTCAGGATGTGGCCCAGAAATTAATTGACAGCATGCCAGGGCGGATTGCAGAGGTCTTGAAAAAGAAGGGTCAACACTGCAAAAATTGACTCTTTGCATAAACTTAATGTAATTGTCAATAAAAGCCTTTGACACGTATGGAATGCTTGTAATTATACTTCAGTATACCATAGTAACATCTGACAAAAATATCTCATAACACTGAAGCAGCAAACTTTGTGTAGACCAATACTTGTGTCATTCTCAAAACTTTTGACCACGACTGTGTGTGTATATATATATATATATATATATATATACACAGTACCAGTCAAAAGTTTGGACACACCTACTCATTCCAGGGTTTTTTACTATTTTCTACATTGTAGAATAAGGTATGTCTGTTTTTAATTTTTAATACATTTCTAAAAAATTCTAAAAACCTGTTTTCGCTTTGTCATTATGGGGTATTGTGTGTAGATTGATGAGGGGAAAAAATTGTTGATGGTACCACTAGACTCAAACTCTCCAGCTGTGCTAATTTCTGCTCCTTGTCCTTGGCTTAATTATAACAGCAGCAGCAGTCAGTCAGTGGTTGGTAATGTAGCAGAGGGTGTTAAGGCCAGTGTTGGGTGCAGGAGGTTAGGTTAGCTCTCCTACCGCTAGTGGAGCAGACGCCCAGGAGAGGTTTCCTGCTGTTCTGCCAGGTGCTCCTATGAAGGCTTCACATTAACAGTACTTATTAAGCACTGACT